GGTGTTTGAAGCCTTTCTGGTGCAAGGGAGAGGCCCAGCTTGCTGCTTCCTGCTGCAAGAGGCTGAGGCCCTGGAGGAGTGAGGGGTGAGCAGGAAAGGCACCGTGTCCTGAGGCTTGGCTGCTTCTCTAACTGAGCCACCCCACTGCAGTCCCCTTCCCTCCGTGGTGACTAAACTTGTGATTTCACCCTGGCTAAGTGTTCAGGATACTGAACACATAACTGCAGGGCAGATATGCTGTCTCTGGTGACAATGTCAGATCCCCAGAGCTTTTTTCTTTGCCAACTGTCAGGAGCATTTGAGTGTCCTGATTGTTTGGGCTGACTCCACACAGACTGTTGGCCAGGAGGTAAAGTACTTCCTGTGATGACCTCCAGGGAGAATTTCTCCCTGTTCTTAAGAAAAGTCCCTAAGTGTTTGCATCACTTGAGCAAGGACCCATTTTGTCTTTCCTTTAGGCTTATCTCATACCCAAAAGCTAGCAGCTCTTTGCAGAGTAGCCCTGCTGACATTTTCAAAAATTTTGAAGGTGCTTTATCTATTTGAATTGACTACTTAATCGCTGCAATTTTTCCTATTTGTCTCTTTTTCAACCCATATTGCCTTCATATTCTTTCAGCTTTAGGTAAAATCTCTTTTTTTTTTTAAAAAATGTAGGATAACAACTTTTCCCCATCTTTTAAATCTATTACTACAGGTCCATTTCCCTGGTGTTTGTCACCTCTGATCTTTCTGATTATTTAACTCTTATGATTTTTAAGTTGAATACTAAGTCTATAACACTGATTTAAACCACGTTTGACCTCTGACGTTGTCTTTCTTTTCATATTTAAGTCAAGCTGCTAGGACATAATCCATTATTAATAATAATGTGCCAGAAGATCATGTCTGATATTTGTGGACTTCCAACACTAATTTCTCTGGGATTATATTCTTCACATCTCTGAAATGGTGATTTCTGAAAGTATATTTATGCCTCCTCCCTCTGAGGCAGACATATGCATGTTTAG